TAAACACAGGAAATACTTTAGAAATTCTTGGATTTTTCGTGTAATAAAATCTTCATTTTTGTACTATGATATGCACCAATGTCATTATAATTATTTATTTACTTTTAAGATAAAATATATACACCCACGCTGCAGACCTACGTTTACACGGGAAGAACTCGGTTTGCGACGCAATTGCATTATTCACCAAAAGTTACGCACAAACACTTAAGTATCAAAGTCAATTTTTTTTTTTTAAGGTTGTTAGCCATCCCGATGATTTGTGCACCACACGCAGCGAAGGCTCTGTCATTACGTTATCTTACGTTTGTTGGTAAAACCTTTCAATGACGTCTGCATATTTCTTTTGCGCGACACTGCGCTTCAGTTTCATTGTCGGCCCTGTTGATTAGATTGGAGTAAATCAATAAACACTAAACGGGATTCACACAGTTTTAAGACAGCGTACACATAAAATCCGATATGAAACAAGGATAAAAGAAAATACCTATACATTTTAAAGTAACCATTTTACTGTATGTTACAAATTACAAACAAAGTGAAGGTGTTAAATTTCAAGGTCATGTACCATAATTAATCAAATACTGGATATCTACAGTAGTGGAGGGGGGAAGTAGATCGGTAATTTGTATACTTACTAATGCGTGACTCTTGCTAACCTCTGTATATACATAAAAATACTGCACTTCCTCAATTGAAACAGGTTTTCAGGAAATAAATAAATATATACTTGCGACCCCATTGCTCATAGGAACATTTTTCCCTATTTTTGATCACAGAACACGCACACGAAATTTGTAAACATACTTCTGACTCACCCTGTATATATATTATAATAGGAAGTGTTAATATTCAAACACACAAATTCTTTGTATTAATATTTCCAGAATATTTTTTGTTGCTATCTTTTTTACAGTCCCGTGACCAGTGTTACGGACTCCAAACTATAAAATTCTCTAAATTAATGAATCTACGTCTGAATTTTGCAGGAATTAATATATCAGATCTTGAAATATATAACTTACCTATCTCACCAGTTGGGATTGAGAAGTCATGAGGAAGTATCTGAAATTTTTGTATGCGTTGTGCATTAGACATTGCCTTGGCATTTGCTCGATCAATTCCTTCCTGTATAGCAGCCAAGACCTGAAATTAAAATCGTTCGTGAAAAATCGCAGTAACTTTATAACGGCTATGTTTTCTATTATCCTACTCTCCCTACTTTATAAGAAAATGGGGCTTATGTGATGACAATTCTGTCTGCGTGTGTCCCTCCACTCGTATCTTTTTAACCACGTGACCAACTTTCTTGAAATTTTGTGTTAAAGCTAATTGAATCTTTTAACTTCCATATACACAACCTTACGAGGCGAGAGTCCCCACTTAATGGTACCCGCACCTTGTCGTGGTGGTGGGGCGTGAGTACCTAGTGACCCCAAGAGCTACTGGTAGGGCCTCCCTAGCCAGATTGGTCGAGGGGGAGAGGTCAGACTAAGACAGGTACCCTGGTCCTCCAGGTCGGGGGGTTGGTCACAAGGCTAACAACCTTACACCGTAAAAAGGAAGACGTTTTGAAACCTCGATGAAAGCCTCGGACGGACCTAACAGAGGACCGAATGGAAGAGGCCATGGACTGAATACGGACCAGAGAGCCATAGAAGAACAACTTGTGGTAATTTCTTTCTGTGCAATGTTTTAGAGAGCATTTGTATGAAATCGATATTTAGCTTTTTGTCTAATGGTGGTAACTTATGAACATGTGGTCTCAGGCACTTGAATTTTGTTATAGTGCATAAATATCGACGAGTAACCATTAGAGAGCCGCCCGATGTGCTCAAAATATCCGCGTCCGTACAGCCGAGATCTAGCATTTTGTGACTTTCGCTGTCTACGTTAAAAAGACAGCTTCCAAACTGAGAAAATTTATTATTTATGGCTTATTTAAAGATATTTTCAGTACGTCACACCATAAAGCATAAAATGATGGGAACGATTAGTGAATAATTGGAAAGGACAAGGAAAAGAAAAGTCAAGGTCAAATTTAAGGTACTATCCTGGCATTTACTTCGAGGGACTGAGGAAAATCGCAAAAGACTGGAAGAAAATGAAAACCGTAATTCGAAATGAAAATTGAACGATAATTTTGGATTTTCTCAAGTTTCACTCCACTTTTCACCTGTATTTAAATTTCTACGACTCATACGTCGTAAATGTTGCTAGATAAGGCACAACATTTTTGGCATACCTGTTCATTTGGTCCATTCAAAACATCTTTCACTGTATTTGCATCACAGCCAAGCGCATTGCACCACTGCTTAGCGGCCGGTGCTAATTCTTCCAATGGCTCGCCAGTCTCCAAGTTCATTTCAGTCTGTTCAAGAGGAATTAATCTTAAATTATTTCCACGTACCACGACTAAGCTTATCACTGCTGAAGGAAGTAAATAGAACAAATTGGGATTAAGCACAATGCTTCTACCAAAAATATATGCTTTGAGGCTTTCGTGGCGACGTAACTCAAATGAAATTTTCTCGGGTGATAAGCCGCGTCAAATGGTTAAACGACGAAACCGACGTTTCGGGGACAATGTCCCTATCATCCGACATCAGAACCCTGATGATGAGGTCAGAGATGATCCCTCAAAACGTCAGTTTCTTGACGCGGCTGATCACAGGAAAAAATTTCATTTGAGTTACGTCGCCACGAAAGCTTGAACTGAATGGGGGTTACGTAAACGCAGTACAAAATTCTCTGCGCCCAGTACCTTTAATGTGAGAAGAACGGAAAGGAATTTCCTCTTGTCTCCAATAAGCATTGCATTGCTGATGCACGGAAGCTGCGCCTTCACTTCCTCTTCAATTAATACAGGAGGAATGTTCTCGCCTCCAGCTGTGATAATCAGCTCCTACAAAAGTACAAGACATTTAAAAGTCAAGAGACTTCTAGAAATGCAACGATGACTATTTAATTTGAACTTCGTAATTTCCGACCATTAACGCTCGATAAAACATATCAAATATGGTTGAAGTACCTTGATCCTCCCAGTGATGTACAGAAAATCATTTTCATCAATTTTTCCAATGTCTCCAGAGTGAAGCCATCCTTCCTCATCCAGGGCTTCGGAAGTCTTCTCTGGGTCATCCAGGTAGCCCATGAAAATATGCCGTCCATTAAAACACATCTGAAAGTAGCAAATTAAGAAAAACTGTTGAAAAAAGAAGGAAGCGATAAGATATTTTTGGTAACATTTTTACCTAAAGGAGACAGAAATCTTCAAACTCACCGCTGTGAAACCTCAAATCTTACATTATTACTTGACATTTCAATAAGCCTTCTCCGCACTTTATTCACCGTATCAACCTACAAACAATGTGGATGTCCGAAAAAGTACAAGCTATGTGAATTTGTTCGAGAAGCGTGAAAAGATTTGGTGAGAAAATAAAAAACAAAGAGAGAGAGAGAGAGAGAGAGAGAGAGAAAAGAGTTTGTTATAAGGAATTAAATTTATACAGACTGCGTGCAATACTAATTCACTAATTGCAATTAAATACTAATAGCAGCGCAATGTCCTACCTCTCCCTGGCCATCTTCTTCAGGATTTATAACCTTCGAGTAAACGCCTTCCCTTTTCTGCCCCGTGGCCTCAAACCTGAATGCCTCCTCCTTGCTGAGCAGATGCCCTCCAGTTGTTTCCGTCATTCCAAACGCCTTAAAAAAAATGTATTTTTAACATTAACCACCAAAAAGAATTGGCAAATGCATGCTTGCAGGTTGTATTAAAAACGTGAAAAGCTTTAAAACTAATTTGTCATCGTGATTCATCAGTGGTTAAGGCACGACGACCTTTCATCACTAGTATCAACTAATACGTTCAGCGATTTAATCTTCAGCAAGAATGGTAACATTTATACTCAAAATTTGTTTCTGTTTTGCATTGGGTGTGGAGGAATCAGATGTTTTGAAAGATTTCTGTGACCCCAAAGTGGTATCCTTGGTCTACCTCAAATATTAGTATCTTACAGTAAATTCTATCATGTTGTATCGCGTGTCACTTGGGTGAACGTAAAATGGCTGAAAATCTTAAGAATACTGTACCAACAGTAAAAAAAAAATAATTAAGCTACTCGAAAAAACTGCGAACAGAGAATCATGACAGAATTATCCATCCACGAAATGATGATACCAGGACAAACTCGTCAGAACTCGTGGCAAAGAGTACAGGATTATGGTAAAAAAAGGTCGTGAAGTTCGTACTGTCATGTCATCATTACAAATTGTTTCCCAGAATAACATCGGTTGCGTAAAAAATTAAAGTTTGTCAGGTTCCAAGATATTTCTGATATGCGTTTCTCTCGATTGTTAGCGGATCTTCTCCTCCTGATTAGACCGACTATCAGGAATTTACTGCGCATGCAAATGGACCTTACTATCACGTGTCAAAGATGACGCATCACCAAAGGAGATTAGTGAATAAAATTACGAATGTCTACATTCCCTAATTGCTCGTTATCACTTTCCATTCAAACGCCATATCCCTTCATATCTTTTAAATCGCCTGATAGGATTACATGGGTTAACAATTTTATCAGATATTATTTTAAGAGGTTTTGTATAACGAGTCCCAAGACTTGTACGCAAACCCAATCATGTATTTTTTTTTGTAGGTCTTCATAAAGCATTCTGAGATCCCTATAGATCTTCTCGATTAAGAATCCAAGAATTTTACACTTTTGGTACAGGCATACCTCGGAGATATTGCGGGTTCGGTTCCAGACCACTGCAATAAAGCGAATCGCTCGAATGTTTTTGGTTTCCCAGTGCATATAAAAGTTATGTTTACGCTATACTGTAGTCTAAGTCTTAATACGAGAATTACCGAAATGTGACGCAGAGACACGAAGTGAGCACGTGCTGTTGGGAAAATGGCGCCGATAGACTTGCTCGACGCAGGGTTACCACAAACCTTCAATTTGTAAAATAAAACGCAATATCTGTGAAGCGCAATAAAACGAGGTATCCCTGTATGTACTTCTTTGAAAACGAGTCTTTCAATGCTCTTACGTCCATGAGAGGAATGTCAATGCTCATGAAGTATTTCTTGATGTCAACAGAAATTGGCGCGGCTCCCGAGAGAGTAGTGGCACAGCGATCCAAACCCAAGGCTTGTTTGATTCGAGAGAATATCAGCTTCTTGGCAAGCATGTAGGAAAATGTATTGCTGTCAATTCTGCAATATGAGAGTTTTTATATTTTTAATTAAGTAAAGAAGTGATGTTATTTTTAACATTTGCATTTCAACAGAGAATTCAAACATACAAACAAACATTTTACTCGCCATTTCACATTACAGTAACGTATGACCTGTTTTGACAATGTTTAAAATAACAGAGAACTGAGGAACGTACTATCTAAGAGGGATGGAGTAACAGAATAAACAAATGATACACGATCCGTGATGGGTGTGACGTCTGCATATAATTTATGCATCACGCAGTTCTCTGTCAGCGCAATCGGTGATGCATTTACACACTGCACACCCTGTATAGGTCAACAGTGGAGATGGGCTGGACATGTAGCCTGGACGGGAGGAACAATTCTGGTAGGAAAACAGCTACTTAAATAACTGAAGACCAAATTTGAGGATAATATTAAAAATAATCTTTTGGAAAGAGATAAGGAGAATAGACGTGCATGGAAGTGGCTCAGTACCATATCGTAAAGCAACCTTTTGTGTTAATGGTTCTGAACGTCTAGTTCCTAGTAAAATAATTAGTTTTTACAGCACCAACAACTGAATCTGTTGATTTCATCGTCAGACGTCATCATTACCATAAGCACAACCAAAAACCTGTTCCAGTCCAATACCATAACTTGTGATCTGCACAAAATTTAACTGCCCCGAATATGGAGGCAGCAAGGTCCTCTGAAACTCCTACCACACTACAACCCAGAAGACAGCCATCCGAATCACGCGAAGCTGACGAATTAGCTCACCCGTTCATCTTGTCGACGTAATGCTGGAGTCCGTGGCCCTTCGCCCAAGTCGCTACAGCTCTTTTGATTACGCCCGACTGCGCACCGATTTCTTGCATCTTCTCATAGATCTTTTCCCACACTCGAGGCACGGCGAGTATTCGAGTAGGACGAACCTCCTGCAGAGTCTTCACCAGGCTTCCCTGAGGTTTACAGAAATATATTAAAATATTCCACACAATAAAAAAAACAGCTTGAATTTTAATTTGATTAATGTTTCATTTATTCTTTTACCAAATGAACACTTACTTTAAGGGCATCTTTATCAGCAAAGTACACGGTTGCTACGCCCTTTATAGCAATGTAAATGTCCACAATCTGCAAAAGATACAAAATATTTTACTTTTTTTTTGTAAACATTTTTTTAAATCATCAGATAAAAACCGTGAATTCTGGGTTCAAAATGGTAGTTACCTGCGCGGCTACGTGGCTGAGAGGCAGGAAACTGACAATGGCTTCATGCTTATTACTGCTGCTAATGCCCATGTGATCTATAATGGATTCTGCATCCCATGTAAAGTTGTCGTGACTTAACATGGCAACCTTAGGGTTTCCGACTGTCCCAGACTGTAATCAAAATAAACAACAATTCTTATAAAACTTTCTTCTCCTTCTTCTATGGCTCTCCGGTCTGTATTCGGTCCTCGGCCTCTTCAATTCACCTCTTCCGTTCGGTCCTCTGTTAGGTCTGTCTGTCCGAGGCTTCGATCGAGGTTTCGAAACGTCTTCCTTTTTACGGTGCGAGGTTGTTAGCCTTGCGACCAACCCCCAACCTGGAGGACCAGGGTACCTGTCTTAGTCTGACCTCTCCCCCTCGACCAATCTGGCTAGGGAGGCCCTACCAGTAGCTCTTGGGGTCACTGAGGTACTCGAGCCCCAACACCACGACAAGGTGTAGGTACCATTAAGTGGGGCCTGTAATCCTTTACGATAAAGAATTAGGATACCTAACTACATGTCACTGTGGGGGAAAAAGAGATTGGTTTCAAAATTTTTCTACATTTTCTTGCAAATTACGTTACAATTATTATGAAACAATCTGCCACACCTTTATACAGTCCGTCCATCAGATTATAATGTTCAGGTACAGTTGGTTGAAAAGTACACTAAACACAGTGACAATAATTATAATTCAGTGCGCTGCCACGCTGCGCTCCTTTGGCCAACTACAGGAACCTTCTATTCAAAATGGTACAAAATAATACTGCCAGTCCTCACAAAACCCGCAAATTCTTCTGTAAACAATGTTTTATATACTAAAAAGTAAAAACTTAAAGCTGTCCCACTATACGCCACGCAGGCGCTTGAGGGGAGAGGAGTACAGCTCTTATTAATTCTTAACCTTATCACTAGATAGAGTTGAGTGGTCAGTGTTCTGCCCCCGGGAAAGGGCCCCCACTGGATAGGACGCTGCGTGGGTCCCAGAGCCGATCCGGACGCAGAGGCTAGAGGAGAGATCGTCTGCCCCCGTCGTGGATCGACCCCGGTCTAGACCATAGTTAATCGCCGTACTGACAGAGCTCCTGACCAATCTTGTTATACTTTGAGTAATATATAAGCGAGACCCATAAAAAAATCTGATTTATACAACCACCACGAGAGGGGGAAATTAATGAACGATACCAATCCAAAGAGCGTAGCTGGATCTCAGAGCATTCGACATTATTCCAGGCAATTAGTGGACTGAGTATCCGCCCTGTACTGCCAGCAGTAAGACGGAACATGATGTTGGGCTCGAGGAACATCCTAGCAGTGTTTTGGTACACTCAAGTAACGGAACGCTGGCAACCGACAACGTTAATGACGTAACAGATGATTACGTGATGATCTGGTTTGCATTTATAAACGGTGCAAGACAAATGAGTTCTGGGTCGTATTATGGACACAGGAGGTCGCTACGTATTGCATAAATTGTAATATAGGTATATATATATATATATGAAAATACTGTCGTAGCATTTGACGACAAGCATCTGGGGGGTAGCACCTCGATCAAAGCCTCGGACGGACGGACCTAACAAGAGGACTGAATGGAAGAGGAGAATTGAGGAGGCCATGGACCGAATGCGGACCGGAGAGCCATAGAAGAAGAAGAAGATTGAGGGGGTTTTGGGTGAAATCATGTGAAACCTATTCTCCATTTCTCATCCTTCACATCCGAAGAGTAAAAGTACGTGAAGAGAATTCATGTTACGCCAGTGGCATCGTAATTAACAGCAAGTCCACGGTCAGAGCTGTATCCTGAGGACGTCCGGAGGGCGCTCTCCTTACACGTGGTAGTGGCACCATTACCCTACGTTGCAATGATTGGCCAGTCATTTAGACTGAACATCATACAAGCCTTATAAAATCCTGTGGTATAGCTACAGGGGTTCAAACTCTGACATGGTTGTCCTCAGGAACTACAAGTCCTGTGGTCAGCTAGGAGCACCAATACCTACGCTACAGCAAGCGAACACTCACAGTAAATAGCAGCGAGCAGCATTCGTTGACGCCGATGGTTTTCAATATGTCATCGAGTTCTACGTCTGGCACCTGACGTCCCATTTCCATCAGTTCTTCCCACTACAGAAAAAAAAATATAGAAACTGTAGCAGCGATTATCAAACAATTACAGCCAAAGGAACAAGTATCAGACAATTTTATCATAAAATTAAAATATAAAACATGAAGTGCACAAACAATTTTGAAGTGTGAAGTACTACAGAAGTTTCTTACGCTGATTACGCCTTCAACTTCAGGTTTGCCGTGGTACTGCACAACAGCTTTAAGTTCTGGCAGCCTGTCTTTAATGGACATGATTTTATCCAGCTGCTTCCTGTCCTCAACGACGATAATATTGGCGCGACTCTTCACAGCGCAGTAATGGCAAGCTTCTGCAGAGCCACTGAAATAGATCATCGAGTAGCTAAATTAAAACTGGATCGATAACGACGCAAAGTCTTCGGAGAAAAAATAATTTTCTGTCTTTCCTTCTTGACGACAGCTGTCTTAAAATTGTACGAATGATGCACGTCGGGAAATTGGAGTAAAAAAAAATATTAATTTTTGTTGTTAGTGCGTAATATTGAATGTAAAATTCTGAGCTGTCCAATGACACTTAAGACACACTTAAAAATATGGACGTAAAATAAAATACACGTGGTTTTCCTCGACGCATTTTTCATTTATAGAACATTTATCACGCGAGGAATTATTTATTTAGTGTTCTGTCTGACGACAGGTCCATATGAACAGGATCCTTCCATCCTTTTCTCGGACTGGGACCTGTTCATATACGTTCTTGGCAGATGATCCAGAAGTGGTTTGCCATTGCCTTCTTCTGTGTGTGAAGGGAGTAATTGTTGGGATGCCACGGAGGAAAACTCCGTGTTGCCTAGACCACAGCCTTGCCCAACACAAGTTATAAATTCGGGCACCGCCGGGAATCGAACCCGAGACCCCCCGAGGATTACAAGGCCAGCGTTCTAACCGCTAGACCACCGTGGCTTAATCACGCGAGGATAAGAGATTTAAATGCACGTACAGCAAAACTCCTGATTATCCGCGTTGGTTCGAGAATATATATATTTTTTTTTCGCAGATAATCCGTAAAAGTAAAAGAAATCCTGTATTTAAAAATGTCACACCACTACTTTATTCAGTCTTCTGAAAACTCTTGCTTAAAATTTAATTATTTGATTAAAGTAAACAGATATTACTACTGAATTAATAAAACAGCGACGGGAAAACTTTTCTAACACATTTCTTCGAAACATTTCATTTAATTTTACTCGATTTCTATACGTAAAAATTTTCGCACAAGTTACAACATACGCCTGTATTCAGGGGGGTTTCCCGTTTCGAATTTCAGCCGAGCTTTCGGGCTATTTTGACTTGAGGTTTCCATGGTTTTCTCCATTCTCTACAGACTAATGCCACAACAGAACATAATCATTTCTTATAAATCCTTAATTATCTAAATCCAATCCAATTAAGTGATACGATAATGACGCACGCAGAATACATCACTACACAACTGCAGACTCGTAATCAACCGAGAAATAACTTTATTCCATTAAATCCAAGAGACAACATTTATAAATTCCTATTTTCTCTTACTGTACGTATCTTACCCAGCGTAAATCGCACCCAAATCAGAAAAGAACCATTCCGGCGAATTGAAGCCCAAGATGCAGACAGAATGGTACCTCTTCAGTCCTAACTTGAGGAACCCTTTGGCACACGTCCTCACAGAATCTTCGTACTCCCTAAATCGAAAAATTTCGTAACGACTCAATACATTTTAAAATATTCACACAATTACTAGTACAATTTTCGTGTTTTCATTTGTTACTTTTGAGATTTCCTGTTACATTAAACCGGGACTGTGGAGTCGGAAGCAGTTTTAGGTGGAGTCAGAGTCAAGAGTCAAGAGTCAAGAGTCAAGAGTCAGAATCAGAGTCAAAGATTTTAGTACCGACTCCAAATCCCTGCATTAAACTACGTCAGACAATTAAGATTTAAAATTACATTGCACTCGACGATATCATGAGAACACTGTACAGAATTTGAAAAGATTTATACTTGTAAGTTATGATCTTCCATTGGCCATCTTCCCCCTTGGAAGCGAGAGCTGGATTATTGGGATACTGCTCAGCTATCTTGTGCAGAAGTCCGGGCACAGAGATGGGCTCCCTAGCAGCTATGCCACTTTGCTCGAATCGTATTTTAACCCGGCCATTAGCAGTCGACGTAGACCATCCCGTAGCTGGAAGCACTTGGTCGGGTCCTACAAGAACAGAACGTACGATGTTTTCTTGTAATTACGTGTATACTCGAATATATATAAAAAAAAACTGACCAATGTCTTTAAAGTTTTGAGGCCGTACTCCTACAAATTTGTGTCATTATCAGATGTTTTTTAAATGTCTGCCAACATGACGCAATTTATGCAGTAAGGTTTAATAGTACAAGAAAAATATATAATTATTTGTTCGTCCATTACCTATATTTTATAATTATAATTAGTCAACCATTGCATTAATTATTATTAGAAAAAAAATTTCTTCATTACCTAAAAAAAAAACAGATCAGATTTCACTTCTCTTAAACATTTTGTATTATCGGATGTGGAATCATAACATTTAGCCTGCAGAAATAGCGCTTGAGGAACAAAGCGTGTGCCTGCATTGCCAATGTTTGTCATTCTTTGCTTCAACAAATATCAAAACGTCATTTATTCAGCAGAAATTACTATGACGTAGCTCAAGTTCGAACTTCTTATGCGTCCTCTGTACCACTGTGTACGCTAACATCGCGTATTCTTCCGGTTAGTGTGCGAGATTTCCGGACCTCATCGAAGTTGTCCTATATCTTAGCCCGGCAGCCAAGTACCACTGAAAAGTCGGCCGGCGGCTTCCCACAAGACAACCATCTCAAAACAGACATCACAACTTTCATCAAAGTTTCTTCGTTAGAGACAATGTTGGTATCATTTTCCACCCAAAAGTGTGTGATTTCCGTAATGTTGGTACATTTTATGGACGGCTTATTATTCTCAAAAACCTGTCGTAATTATGCATTTACACCGGAACAATTCCATTCGCAAGCGTCTCTACATTTCTTTGGAGATGACATTTTCCTTTTCATGTGTAACGCCGTGTTCTCACGGTGGAAAAAACGACGACTGCCTTATCGGCCTGATGACGGAGTTAGACTACAGGCCTCGCCATCGTAGAACACAAGTCGTCTTTATCTGAACATGTTATCAGCAACTTCAAATATTATTATTTCACCTATCGAGCTCTAAAACGAGAATGACTGTACCATTTTCAGACCTCTTAACAGTAAAGTTTACTTCAGTGCACGTACTTACCATTACGAAAATCCGTGTTTTCTACGGAAGTCATTGTTTGGGCACTGGACTTGTTGTGAACTCCTGGTCCATTGTTTCCGATAGAATCCGATTCCAAATGTTTCGTTGTCGTCAACTCTGGTCCGTTTGAATTAACGTTCTTCGCATTTGCGACTCCATTGTTACGAACATCTGCTATGTTTACGCCGTTCAGTTTACTAAACTTCGTAGTCATCACGGTAACGTCCTCGCCCGACGCTATCACATCTCCCGTTCCGGTCACCATTATGACTTAAGTGGCTTTCCAAATGGCTGTTTATCTAACCCTGCGAATCAATGAGAAGGTACATTTCTTTAAGGTTCGACATAAAATGCATATAAACTTTTTCCAGCAACGCAATATTCTAATTAGAAAGTTCTACATTATTATTGAATCTCCAAACATCGAAGACAGTAACAACACGTCTCTGGAAAATTGAAAAAGAACAATTTTGGATATCATCAGACAACATACCACCAACTGTACTTGCACAAATCATGTTGCGATGTACTGATAGTTCGAAATCGGGCAAACAAGGAAAGAGTTATTTGGAAGACCAAAAACACGATGGAAATCAAACAGAATAATATTAAGTGACCTTTGACAATGGTGGTAAGCTTAGTCCAACATCACATCCAGCGACTTTCGTATTAGCTGTGTTGAACCTACGGATTCTACGACCACGGAATTTGTCTCCATTTAACGACGCTGTATAAAATAAGGTTGCACTGCGTGGACAAATACGTTAATGACTGACTTAAGTCTCTCTATTTAACTGCGAATTATGGGCCATCGAGTAATGTTTTTCTTCACCATTTAAACACACGTAAAGGCGTTGGAACACGCTTCAACAACCAACAACTCTTCATTTTGTATTTCCGTGGTTTCGTATGATTATCATCAAACAACAATTAGAAACGTAGGAGCTTACCGATACACAACTCGAATTCTCGTTCTCTTACGCAACACTAAGAGACCTCACTTGTTCACCGATGACTTCTTGTCTGAGGTCGACTCCATCTACATAGCTCTACTGTCCACAAAGTAGGGACTCGGGGTACGATGACGTACTCACGAGTCACGTGTTTTGTCATGACGCAGAAAAACACGTGACTGCTATTCTCACAACACACCTGAACGGTGACTTCACTGCGAGTTCGGTGGACCTCCTTACTGCAGACTTTACTGTTATTACAGTGCCCTCGTTACACACGAGCAGATCAGCTCGAATGTCTTCCATCCTTTGCGTCTAACCCAACTTCTTATATGTAGCATGTTCTCGTTGCTTAAAATACACAGTAATTTTTAGCTGTTACATTTCCATTAACTTCACAATACCGAACCCCACACAACTTGTTCCTATATCAGTTTACTCCAAAAAAGTATTCATTTGACTACCCAATTTTCAGAGCAGAGACAAAATCACAGTTACTTCATACTTAAGTTGTAATTTTAAATAATAATAATAATAATTTTAAACGTGAGATAATCCACTTAATAATTCTAGTCACTTTAACCTGAATATTTAAATAACATGCTCCTCAAAAATGGTGGTATACAAAACAATTTTGTAAATGCAAGCCTATAACCTTAAAATCGCCTTATTACGTAAAGGTACATTATCTCGCCCACTAAATTACATTTAAAAAACAATATTAAAATTACTGTGGTATAAAAACAGATATATATAATCTCGTCTACATAATATTTAAGAATTCAGTCCGTACCGCGAAGTAAACACAACTCTTCACCATTACGAAGATCAACTGGTTAACCCTTTGAAGTCATAGCTCGTCTAAATATTACGTATTTAAGAATTCAGTCCGTACCGCGAAGTAAACACAACTCTTCACCATTACGAAGATCAATTGGTTAACGCTGTTTAAGGAAATAATCGCTGTTTACACTGAAAATCATACGAAACACATAAATACAAAATGAAGAATTACTGTTTGTTGAAGCGGGTTGTACATGGCTTTAAATGATTAACAATGACTCGAAATAAAAACTGTCTGAAAGCTAACGAAAAAAGTCTTTATAATAAACATCGTTGCATGCAGATTTGTGCACTATTTTCAGGGACGTGTCAGTAAACTCGAAAGAGAAGAGATTCCCAAGGTTTGTATAACGTAATAATTTACTGACCTCATTTCCATGAACAGCTTTATCAAAAAAGTTGTACCTTTTTACATCGAACAATTCAAGAGTTCAGTACACGGACGAAACAAAATATATCACCAACATTTTCAATCTGCATTAAATTAACACAAAGGCAGGCGAACGCAATTTACCAAGAACGAATCTAGAAATTTACTACGTAACATATTTCCCTAGTTAGAGACAGATGGCCGGATGTAACACTTAGCATTTCTGATTCGTCTCCTAATAGTCTTGGCCTCAATTACCGACCCGGAGATATATCGTGGTTTTCCTCAGTCCATCCACGGGATAGTAATATAACAGTGCCCCCTTCAAAAAAAAAGGACATACACACATCGAAAGAATGAAACAGGCATTTTAATAAATTAAACCATTACACACGTCAGCATTGGCATTTACTGAATTTGCTAGCGAATCTACTGTGATGTTTAAAAAAGACACCGTTAGCTTCGTGGCACAGTTGACGGCGAACAACTGACAATCGGCCACCAAAGTTGCAGCTGGGACGCCTGAGAGCTCTTGGAACTGTTGCTGGCTTCGTACTGTACACCACGTCCAGAGGAAAAGAAAAGAAATCAGGTGACGTAGTCTGGTAGAAGTTTACCAACGTTCCATAGGTCTTTGCTGCCTCCATCATAAAGGCTCTCATCGCCCTGATGATGGAAGCAGCAAGGACCTCCGAAACGTTAGTAAAACTTCTACCAGACTACAGGGCGATACAACCCAGAAGACAGACATCTTCGTACTCACAGTAGTAACAACCCCAAATATCCTGGTAATTAAGTCGTGCGGTACTTGGCCTAAGTTCCGGTCAGAGATGGTAAGGTGATACTGACCACGTAATTAAGGAGCGTAACAAACTATCGTTTCTTAAAACCGAGGGCGTAAGCCCTTCTATACTCGCAGCGACGTTTATTAACCCAATCGAACTGTATTGAATTTCAGCAGTCAATAAGTAATAAGTATTTTAACATGGGTTGCGTAACTCATCGACCAAAAGTATCGAAGCACGTTTCCATTCTGTAAGAATATTAATTTAGTTCCAAACTGCAACACCCCATCTGAGCAGAGAGTGCAAGAAAAATGTAACAGATGGCACCAGTCACAGCCAGCATGTAACTGCAGAACCTTGCGATAGATGGCCACCAAGGTCCGTGACATATCAGACAGTACTTAGTACAGTAACTAGTGCCATCTGGCGCATATCCAATGGTGTTGTACGTTAAATTCCAGCACGTAAGAAGGGTCTTAACTTGGAAACTAAGGACTTGTGGACCCATGTTTACGTGAACTTTTTTACAGCTGTTTTTGAATGCAGAACTCACTACTAAAATTTGTATGTAAAATAATTCACTCTGTATAAGAAAACTTGTTACGAGTATCATAACTATCGTCAGAATTTGTGAGTCATAGCGATACAAGCGTCACTTAATGTACATTCCTGAAGTCTTGTGTAACAATAGGTCTTCGAAAAACATAAACGTTTTCCGTTCGATGGCTAATAAAATCAGTTTAACACTAGAAGGAGGTTCGTGAAATACCGGCGAGTTAGTTTATGAACGCATAAATTATATTTGGAAAGTTTAGTCATATTATCAGTTTCAATATGGCGACGATGCGAATCTTCTATGTTACAACGGCCATAACATTTGAAGCTTGAGGTAAAACAAAGTTTTTAAACATGCTACCAGGGTCACGCTCCGCTCCCCACAAAAATGACAACGTTGAATTGTTTCAATTGCCCATTATTCTACTTAAATTTATTTATTATTAACTTAAAATTGGTTTATACCCCATGGCAATCGATAGACGTTAATAAATCATCGAATTATGGGTTTTTTCTATTGTTTCTTAAATTTCTGTTAATTATCGTTTGCTTCCTTAAATTGTATAAGTAATCTGGTAACAGTTGTTATCAGACCAAGCTTTAATTACCGTGTCTGTGGCTACAGCGAAAGTTCGACAGAGTTATTAAAACACCTTACAGTAGGGTTTCTCAAACTTTTCTGGTGCCCTGAACCCCCTCTCCAAAACCCAAAATTATATAATATATTCTGACTAAAGATAATACAGTCCAACTAAAATATAAAATAAAATAAAATTTGGAATATTTCGTGTATTGGAGCATATCAGCCTGTAATCGAAACAGATCTTGCGAAAATTGTGTCTAAGGGCGTGGACTGGACAGAAATGTTTTAGAATTGGCCACAGAATACAATCACGCGTTATTACAAACCCAGCACACACGAAAAAAAACCCCTATAAATCTATAAAATCATAGTTCTGCAGCAAGTCATGGTGCGAATAACTTGTCACAAAATTAGAGGTAATGGAATATAATCCTATTTTGGGGCTTAAAACTAACATCTAAGAAAGAGAAATTGTACTATCACGAAATTAACTGGAGCACTTTTGCAACAGAATACGTACAATGGACGCATAATACCTGCGAGTCTGAGTTTTGTTACAGAAAGCTGGCTGGCCACCAACGGGTGTTAGGGAGCTTACAGATATCTTCCAATAAGAACGCAAGACAAATAAAACTGATAAACAATAAATCACAGATGTGGGCAAACAAGTTGGCTCGTATACGTGACGTCACGGTTACTGACAGGTTCTACTCGTAGTTCAAAATGCACGTGACCTCAACAAGCTAACCGACTCGTATAACAATTTCATTCTCTTTTCCGACAAATTGAAATCTTAAAAAATACAAAAAAGGAACACACTGACTCAATCGTGCGAGCTCAACTGCGATAAGAATTATGAGTAAGCCACGGCCAAGTTTCCAGCCCCGATCGCTTGGAGTCGCTGATAAAGAGGTCACTCACACGCCAACCGATTCCAAACATCTGACTGCACCCAGACCAGCGCTCAAAAGATAATTCCACATCTCTTGTAATCTCAGCTCTATACTTCCGAAAATCTTGAATTGTCCCAGCCTTACGTCACGTGAAAAACACGCATATGACACTTTCAAATTCCATGGAACAGCTTACTGAGAAGCTAACTGTTGCTTAGCTAACCAAGAAATTCCTCGCCTTTTGTGAAAACTTAAAGATTAATTTCCCTGTTCACAACAGCCCATCATTCTACCCTCTGTCCTATTCTGAACCATTCCAATCCAATCAACAGTCTTACACAATGTTTTTTTTTAAATATTCCTTTCCATTTGATACATCTGATGTATTGCGACTTGTCAACTTTTTCGCTTGGTAGGAGCAAAATTATCCATTCTGTTGTAAAAACAAATTAAACTTCAAGAAATCCCCGTTAAAACACCGAAGCCTGTTACCTTTTCTTTGGACAGCGCAGTACTGCACTCGTAATCACAAGCCATGGAACTGCTGTAGTGGCTGTTCCTTCCACCGTGCACCACCCCGCTAATTATAAAATAAAATTACTTTATATTGGATGAAATTTAAACATTTAAATAATCTCTCTACACTAGTAATGTACTACAAATTGTTTAAAATACATTCTTACGAAACACAGTCGTACTGCAACACTCGGTTTTATAAATTAAAATATATCTTTAGGGGGGTGAGATGAATGGAAGTAAAAGCTCGTAAGGACCCGTGCTTTACTCGTATATCTGGATTGTTTGTATCTGCATGACACACTTGCGTGGCACATACGCACTTTATAAAACAACCTGACAAACACTTGGGTAATTTTCCAACTCGTATTGACCTCTAGAGTACAGGTACTGAACATAAAGGGACTTTTACGTAGTAACTCAGTGCTGATCTGAGATAAATTGTCTTATATCCCAACTCAACCAAAACCCAACAAAATGTTCCTTTAGACGCATGTAATTATGCTTGTACGTCTCAATTATTAAAACTAAACGCAAAACTTTCACATTCTTTTGTCTTGAGAGTGGACACACGAACATAAATGTCGGGATCGGCAAAAACTC